TTTTTTTGGTGATGCTGGGGATTGAACCCAGGGCCTTCTGCATGCCAGGAAAGCACTCTACCAACTGAGCTATATCCCCAGCCCTCTGTCATCCAAAATATACAAAGCACCCTTAAAATTCAACAATAAGAAAACAAACAAAAAAACCCAAAAACCATTAAAAATTGGGCAAAACCTGAATAGACATCTTATTAAAGAAGACATGTAGATGACAAATTAAACACAGGAAAGATGCCTAACAGCATATACCATCAGGGAATTGCAAATTAAAACAATTACTGCACATCTATCAAAGTGGTCAAAATCCAAACGTTGAAAATTATAAATGCTGGTGAGGATGTGGAACAACAGGAATTCTTGTTCATTACTGATGTGAATCCAAACGGTACAGTCAGTTTGGAAGACAGGCAGTTTCTTACAAAAATATACTCTTCATGTATGTAATCAAGCAATTGTATTTGTTGGTATTTGCCCAAACAGTTTAAAAACATGCCCACACAATACGGTATATCCACTCAAAGGAATATTGTTCAGTGCTGAAGAAAAATGAGCTATCGGGTCATAAAAAGAAGTGGAAGAAGTTAAAATGTATACTATGAAATAAAAGAAGCCAATCTGAAAATGCTACATATTCTGATTCCAACTTGTGATATTCTGGAAAGGGAAAGACTATGGAGATAGTAAAAAGATCAATGATTCTGAAGGATTATGGGGAAGAGAGAGATGAATAGATGGACCATAGGGATTATTAGGCCAGTGTTTTAGTTCAGTGCCCCATAGACTTTGTAGCTTAAAGAACATAAATTTATGTCTTAAACTTTTGGAAGCTGGAAAGTCTAAGATCAAGATGCTAGCAGATCTGGTCTCTGGTGAGAGCATTCTTCTGATATGCAGTTCAATGACTGTTGCAAATGTACTACTCTGGAGTAGGATGTTGATCCTGGGGGAGCTAGGGGGCATATGGGAATGCTTTGCACTTTCTGCTCAATTTTCTTGGGAACTAAATATGCTCTAAGAAACAAAATCTATTTTAAAAAAATTAAAATAAGAATACTATTTCATGACAGTTGGAACAACCAGTCACTAGTTTAAATATTGTCTATGATTGTCTTTACCCTACAGCAACAATGTTGAGCAGTAATTGCAACAGATAGTACAATCCACAAAGCTACTTACAGGTAGCACTAACTTTTCTTTTTGTTAATTTTTTTTAAGTTGTCAATGGACCTTTATTTTATTTATTTATATGTGGTGCTTAGAATTGAACCCAGTTCCTCATACATGCCAGGTGAGTGCTTTACCACTGAACCACAACTCCAGCCCCCAGGTAGCACTATCTTACCTTTAAGGATTGCCAAACCCTGGTTTATAAGATAGTTTGCTGCAAACCAGCTTATTTTATAGAATAATTGAGCTGTCTTTATATCTCCCACTATATACAAATATGTATCTCCCATGATGTACATACTATGCACAAGGTACAATGGAATTTGATATGAAGGGTAAAAACTAAAATATTAATAGAAAAAGCATAAGAATATTTTTTACTTAAGGGTAAAGAATTCTTACAGAAGATTTTAAAAAAACCACAGATAATAAGAATTAACATATTAGTGGGCTGTGGCTGTGGCTTAGCGGTAGCACACTTGCCTGGCATGTGTGAGGCACTGGGTTTGATTCTCAGCACTGCATGTAAATAAATAAAATAAAGGTCTATCAACAACTAAAACAAATTAAAAAAAAAGAATTTGATTTCCTAACATCAAAAGTAATAACTTTCATCCATGGAGGACAAAGTTAAGATAGAAGACATTGTAAATAAGATATTTGCAATATTTAAAAGTGGCAAGATATTAATATTAGAATGAATATACAAAACAGAACACTGATGTTTGAAAGAAACAATGCATAGCACAAAACAGTCTCTTACTGCCCAACGAAAAAAGAGCCAGGATCTTTTCCATAAACGAGTAATGTATTGAGCATGAAAATATAATACTTACTGGGAACTAAATTCACTTATTGAAAATGGCAGGATTCGGTGCCTAGAAATCATAATTCACATCTCTTGTTATGCATGATATTCAAACCCTCAAGCCATCTCACTCCAAGTATTTTCCATTATCACTCTCCTTTTCTCTTCTTCATCCCTAATTTCCTCACACATTCAGTTAAATATTTCCTAAAGCCTTGCCACTTAAAGAATGGTGCATGGATGAGCACCAGCAACAGCATCTTGTTAGAAGCGAAGGGTGTCAGGCCCCACTGAAGCAGTTACCTTAATAAGATTCCCCTGGAATCTTATTAGAGATAAGAGACCCATGGATCTTCTGAAAATTTTTCTCTCTACAGGGTTCTATGAGAATTTGCATATTGTCTTTTTTTCTTTTCTTTTTTGTGGGGGGAGTATTGGGGATTGAACTCAGGGGTACTCAACCACTGAGCTACATCCCCAGCCTATTTTGTATTTCATTTAGAGACAGGGTCTCACTGAGTTGCTTAGTGCCTCAGTGTTTCTGAGGCTGATTTGAACTCTTCTTCTTCTTAAAAAAAATTATATATATATAGTTTTAGGTGGACACAATATCTTCATTTTATTTTTATGTGAGTATCAAACTGAGTGTGCCTCATGCATGCTAGGCGAGCACTCTACCACTGAGCCACAACCCCAGCCCTAAACTCCTCTTGATCCTCCTGCCTCAGCCTCCCAAGCTGCTGGGATTATAGGCTTGTGCCACAAGCCTGCCCACTGTTTATTTTTAAAATGATACATTTATACTTCTTGGTAATACATGCATCATCAGTTACATATATTGAGGTAAATGTATCTCTTTTCCACTTTGTGAAACTGTTACAGCAATTCAGTTAGATCAAGAAAACTACTGAAGGGCAGCAATTGTTTTAATCGTATTTCTAATGTAGTCTTGGGGTTAAAGTAAAGATTTTGGAGATTCAGAGACCTGAACGGAAATCTTGGACCTGCTACTTACTCAGTGAGTGACTTCCGGAAAGTGACAAGCCTCTCTGAACCCATTTCCTCACTTCAAAAAGGAGATGATGGCCTATCGAATGCTCAGCACTTGGTGAGCTACAATATGTAAATCAACCTAACTAGTATGCACTCAGGGTTACTTTTGGGCCCTTTGAAGCACAGAACCTCTGCACATTGCAGAGCTTAATAAATGCAATGCATTTTGAAGCTGTTGGGATGCTCCTCTGCATGGCAATTTGTCTTTGAGTTTAAAATGCTTTAAACATTTTTTTAGTTAAAAAAAAGCTCATAAATGGTATACAATTTCTTATTATATGCCTCAAACACTCTCCAGTTATGCCACACAGTCTGCCTCCTTTACAAGTCTACATCCTTTCCTGAAAAATAGCGCTGGGACATTTTCTTCTAAAAAGGAAGCTAAGCACAACATTGTTCTATCCACCTGTGGGGACTGTGATTGCATGCATATTCTTCCAAGCTCTCTGTAACCAATGGGCACTTCTGATGGTGTGGTCCTAGGGCGAGTCTGAAATAAGGCTTTTTTTTTTTTTTTTTTGTCTAACAGCCTTTGAAAGTGACTTTAAAATTTGCAAGCTTTTATATACGTCGTTGTGTTTAGCTGTTTCTGTTTCAACCTAACTGTACTTTTAAAAATTGGTTTTATTTTTTAAATACACGACAGCAGAATGCATCACAATTCTTATTACACATATAGAACAATTTTTCATATCTCTGTATATAAAGTATGTTCACACCAATTCATGTCTTCATGCATGTACTGTATTTTTAATATGCCGAGACTTTCAACAGAATATTCTTTGCTTAAACCCGAGACCTTTAATACACTTGCCCCTCCAAATAGCCCAGAACTCGCTGGGCGTGCACCCCTGTAACCCCAGAGACTGAGGCAGGAGGATCATTAGTTCAAAGCCAGCCTCCGGAAATTAGCGAGGCACTAAGCAACTCAGCGAGATCCCATCTCTAAATCAAATATTTTAAAAAGACTGGGGATGTGGCTCAGGCTTTTGCTGCTGTTGCTGCTACCTGTTAAAGACAGGGAGAGGACTCCTCAGAGAAGAAGCTTTTGGCCTTTGCATCCAAACTGTCAAGTCAACCTCACCTTCCGTTGAGCAACACAGTCATTGGGCAAGTGCCCACAACCTTCTTCTCTAAGATTCACGAATGGCAACCAATCGTTTCCCACAGGCGTCTTATTTTCGTGCAACAAGAAGGAAGAGCAGTGGCGACTGCGGTCAGGTGCCTTGACTTGGGGAATCCCGCTGCACAGGCAGTGCGGATGTGCGCCCTTTCTGAATCACGCGGACACTCGCTCTGGCTGTCCCACACAAGCTAAGGTCGTTTTACGTTGCTTTTTCCTGTGCATCCGTCGCTTCTCAGAAACATGACCTTGTCACGGAGATTTCTGGCTATTTTTTTTTTCTCCAGAATAAAGACATTCCGGAACGAATGAACTTGTTGGTTCTATGAGAAGTCCTAGAGGTTCAGGACGGTTGCTTTCTCATCCCGGTGAACACAGTACAGCACCATCACTCGGCGCGGTGCTCAGCGAGTGTTTCCGGACGCATCAAAATCAAAATGACCAACGAAACAGACAAATGAAAGGAGGTAGAAAACGAGAAGTGAACGCCTCCAAGAGTAAAGGAAAGAGGAGAAATCAGGAAGGGGATGAAAGGCAGGAACCTCGGAGGGCAGGGCGTGCCCAGAGGCGGGGTGGAGGGCGCGTGGGCCGCTTCGCAACAGCACTCCGGGGGCCGAGTTTTCTTTATAAAGGCTTCTGACCAGTCTTGCCCCCGGGGGAGACACCCCGGACGGCGGAGGTTGGGGACAAGCCGCATTGCTGGGTTCCAGGGACCTAGGCAGGTGCAGCCTTCCCACACAGCGCGCGTTCTCTTCCTGTGCCTTTGGCCCGCGCGATGCCTCGAGGAGGGGAGTCACTGGACCTGACGGTGTGGGACCGCGCCTCGGGCCTGTCCAGGGGGCCGCGCCACAGGTCAGTACCCCTGGAGCATGCCGCAGTTCTCCCACCCTCTATTCCCGTCCCTCTTCGGGCCCTGGCTGCCTCCTCCCGGGCTGATCCTTCCTTGGGTCTTCTCGCGCCTGCACCTGGGCTCTATACTCCTGCTGCCTCCCGCCCCCC